TCCCTGATTAAAAAAATATCACAAGCACCTCGCGGCCCAATCTAGATCATGCGCGGCCATCCCGCGATCATTGTCAAGTGGTTTTTGACAGGGACGGCGGCGGTGGTGGCGCGTGGCATGTTGTGCGCAAGCCCACCACACAATGGTGGGCATTGGCTTTTGACTAGGATGGCGGGGGCCGACATGTTTCCTGATGTGTGCTGTCACGTGCTCAGGCGCACCCGACGCACTCTGCACGTGCCCCGAACGTGGCGCACCTGGCGCGGCTGGAGTGTGCGGCACACCTGGCGCACTCGGAGCACGTGGCGCATCTGGCGCACCAGGCGTGCCTGGCACGCTCGGGCCCCAGGGGTGCCTGGCGCGTGTGGCGCCCCTGGCACGCGTGGCGCACCTTGCTCAAGCGTCGCGCACCTGGGGTCGGCTTTGGTTCCCACTAGCTGTTCATCCAAAAACGACTGCTGACATGCTCAGGCTCGGGTGTTACTTATGTGTTGTGGGGGCGGGCGGGAGTGAGCTAGACGGCTTGCGGGCGGGTGGGTAACTTGACCCCTCCCCCTACCCGGCCCCATCTGGGTCTGGACGGGTCCTGTCGCGAGGCGTTGGAGCGTCCAAGATGGTCTCGGCGAGGGAGCCAAAATCACTGGTTTTACTGAGGTGTTGGCAAGATGTTGGCATCCTAGGACGGGGGGGGCTAATGTACTACCGCCCCTCCTTTGATCGATCTCCTCAAGATGACCCAAGATGGCCACCGAGGCTCGTAAGGGTGCCCCTCCCCGAGGATTCCAATGCATTCCCCCCAAGGATTCATCAAGAACCCCCAAAGATTCCAGATGATGCATGAGGGACCTAAAGATTCCAGAGGATTCGCGAGTGATTCCTGGGGGCTCCCTGAAGACCCCGGGGGATTCCCCCATGGATTCGCGAAGGACTCCCGCAGGATTCCTTGGCAACTGCTATGCAGACCCCCCCCGCGCAACCAGCAACTCGGCAACCCTCCGGGGGGGCGGGGGGGAAACGGGGCCACCAAGGGCGCGAGCGAAGGCGACCGCGGAACCACTGCGGGCAGCGACGGACGGGCATCGAGCGCGGGCGAAGGGCAGCGAGAGGCGACGGCAGTCCCTGACGGGCGGGTCGGACGGGCGGGCCCCGACGGGCGGGTCGAGCAGGCGGGTCGCTGAAGCGCGACTCCTCCTGGAATAAAGAGAAATCTTCAGCGAGAGCGCAACTTCCAAGAAAAGCTCGAGGAAGTCCAGAACGAAGGAACGATTCCCGAGTGCCGACAGGGGCGGCATCTGAGTGACTCGTCGGGGAGTCTCCAGCAGGAGCGCGATCCCCGAGCAGACTGCAGGGAAGCCTCCAGCGAAGGGTCGAACCTCCAGAGGAGGCGTGGAGAGGCCTCGGGCGGGAGCCGCTGCTGCTGCAGTTAGTTCGGGGGCCCGTCGCCCGTGGCGAGGAGCGGCATCTGCAGAAACTGCGGGGACGTCTCGAGCGAGAGCGCGATTCGATTGCAGGATTGCAAAAAGGATTGCAAAAAAACCCTAGATTTGCAAAAAAACAAAACAAAAAAAAACTTCAACGAAGGATTGCAAAAAAAACCCTAGATTTGCAAAAAAAACCTTCAACGAAGGGTGTTTTTTTGCAACCCCGGGTTTTTTTTGCAATCCGTTTTTTTTGTTGCAATCCTTCGAATAGGCGGCGAGCGAGGGGGGGAAGTGAGAAGGGGCGCACCTTCTGAGAAGGCCCGGAAGTCCCCCGGACTCCTGAGAAGGTTGCTAAGCCTTCCCCGAAGACGGGCGAAAAAGCTTCTCGGAAGGCGCGAGCGCTTCTGAGAAGTCCCGCCGCCTTCCGAGAAGGCCTTCTCCTTCTCGATTCCCCCCCTCGCCCGCCGCCGACTCAAGCGAGAGCGCGATTCGATTGCAAGGAAAACTCAGGCGAAAGCTTGATTTCTCAATAGGTTGCGAGGGGAAGTATCGGGCGGGAGCCGTTGTTGTTGCCACTCCAGGGCCCGCCGCCCAGTTTGAGGCTCAAGAGCTTCCTCGATAAAAAACAAGGTGCGAGGCCCAGGAAGGGCATCCCAGTAGGAAGAATGCAATGGTTACCAGAGGGGGGCCAACGATAACTATTATGCAGAAGTGCGACAACAACAACAACAACAACAACAACAACAACAACAACAACAACAACAACAACAACAACAACAACAACAACAACAACAACCACAACAGCAACAGCAACAACAACAGCAACAGCAACAGCAACAGCAACAGCAACAACAACAACAACAACAACAACAACAACAACAACAACAACAATAGCAACAGCAACAGCAACAGCAACAACAACAACAACAGCAGCAGCAACAACAGCAACAACAGCAACAACAACACCAACAACGACAACAGCAGCAACAACGACAACAACAACGAAACAACAATCAGCTCAATACTGTTCGCTCTTATCTGCTCGAATGTCATTCAACGTGTTTCCCAAACCCTCGATA